TTTTGTCATATTTGCTGTAACTTTCACTATATCAGGACAGTAATACATAAAACAGATAATCTGTGGAAAAATTCAGTTCCTCTGGTTCATTCTAGCTCTCCTAATGGCATTTACAAGAATCCACCAGGACTGAACCAAAACAACCAATCAGAGCCAAGAAACATTGTTGATTATTGAGTCTTATTCCCAAGGCATCAAATACAGATGCTTTGGGACTCTGGGAATGATACTCAACATCTTAAATAATAATCTAAACTTACAAAAATTACAATTTCATTTAGTTTGAATTCTCACAGAAATTAACAAAATGCTGAGATACACTGCAGGCCTACTGTGTATATTTTCCCCTTCAAATTCAAGAAGGCCTTGCGACCTCCAGTAAAGCTTTTGTGATCCCTAGTGGGGGTGAACTAAATAGATGTGATTATAGTCAGTAAGGCTTTGTAAGTACTAACCTTCAGGATATTTGTAGTGTAGAGTGACATCTTCTCTGGTGTCACCGTAAACACTTTTGGTGCTGATGTTCCTGCCCACACTCGCCTGGTCCACTCTGAGCTGCAACAATAATAACCATTGTCACCGTCATTGCTGCTTTTTTACTGGAGCAAACATGAGAAAGACAATCGGAACAACTGTTGATCACCTTCTCCCGTCTGCCGTCTTGGTGGACGATCCAGTTGATGATGTCAGCGTTCACCTCAGCGAATACAAATGGAGCGTCATACTTTACTCCCAGAATCCCCTCCTTGATGGCCGTCACTGGACACGGACCACAGCAAAACTCACCTGAAGAGCAAAAGTTGAATTTCTTTAGAGCATTTTCTGCACTAGGACATATTTAGTGACAGGAAACAAGCCTCTGATGTTTTCACAATGGCAATTTAGTTGGATTATCAGGTCGGTAGGAAATACCAACCAGGTTTGAATCTGAAATGTCACAATTATATGATACCAAAGACAGTTTTTAGTTTTTCAAGTTAGATTAGGTAAGAAATGTCTTGTAGTAAACAGATTAGTAGAAGAGAGAGAGGGGATAAACAAAGATTTAAAAATTAGGAATGTACCATCACTCAGTTCTTGAGGGGTGGGGTCCAAAACCTGCCAGCCATCATTTCCTTTTGGGAGGTCATCTCTCGTCATCCAGGACTCGACCCAACAGTGGAAGTTCCTAAAAGGAGATAATTTATTATATTACAGGATATAATGTCTTTTACTGTGTGTGTGTGTGTGTGTGTGTGTGTGTTCCCTACCAGCTACTGTCTTTTCTGGCTCTGCTGTCATAGCTCTCCAGTCTTTCGTTCAGCAGGACGTCTAAAGAGAGGTTTCCATCGACATCGTGGGCTGAATTGAAGTTTGTGATGAGGCGCGTTGGGACTCCCAGACAGCGCAGCACTGTGAAGAAAACACACGTCAGACTGGGACAATTGATTCTCTTCTTCCCACCTACTTTCCTTTCCTTTTTTATATTTGGCTCTGGCTACAATTTTGTCCAATCACAGCTACTTTTTTGCTAATTATTTGACCAATCATTGGAATTTCCGGGCCAAAAAAAATAGTATTTTCTGAGCTAGAACCCCAAATTTTACAGGCTAACATAAACTACACTGTGAATATAATATAGTGCATATAATTATCAAAATAACTGAATAACAAATCTCTCGTGCTTTACTGATAAAATATTAAATCCTTTTCTAATCTAGTCTAATCGGTTCGGGTAGAGAATCAAAGCTCTACTTTCCTGCACAAAACTTTGAGCCATATGTTACCAAACTCACTTCCTTGTTTCTAGTTGTCACAATGCAGACATGACTTTATTCTCACTGGAACAAGTTGTCTTTGATTTATAATGAACTACATATAAAAAAATATAATAATTACAACTATGTTTGCAAAAAAACATTCCTAAAAACATTACAAAATTGTAATTTTTTAGAAAAGCTTCCATGAAATCAGACATTTTAGTCTGCAACAATGCCTCCCAAAAGCCTGCGAAATCCTGAAGGGACTGTCTCTGTCTCAAATAAAGCAAATAAACATATTTCCCCAAATGCTTTAAAACATGCCTTAAACAGTTAGTAGCAATTATTTTTTATCTTCAGAACTATCTATTACACATTCCTTGAATCATGCAGCAGTGAAGTCTGTGACAGCCTCACCTGTGCAGGCGACAGCAGCAAACACCCAGCACTGGCCATATTTGACCGCCCTCACCCCGGCCTTGCTCCACTGTTGGAGGATCGGCACGCTGCCTGTCCATCGGTAAGGTGCGACTCCGTCTGAGTACGGCTCCTCCCACTTGCCCCACAACACACCCCTGTCACCGTTAGAGTTCACCTGGACAGGTGGAGAAGACATGTGGGGAAGACATCTTTAAAGCTGTGAATCACTGCAAGGCCATTTGTGCATAGGATATTACGTTTGTAGTGATGAAGACAATTCTTTTCTGTTCTGTTTTCAGGGTATATTTTTGGAGAGGTGTTTACAACATTAAAGCCTGAATGAAGTGCATATTGGTTGGATCTCTAAAGAATCATATGTGTTAGCAGAGAAAACTAAATGTATTGTTATTTCAGCAGCCAGTAAAAGAGATCGTCACCATCGCAGTGATCATCCTGCTGACGTAGACAGGGTCCGATCTGCGCTCAATGTCCATCTGAGAGTTTTTCAGGGCATCCTTAGAGTTGTCCAAGACTTCAAAACAGATGTCCATCACATAGTCCTCAAACTGAGAGAGAGAGAGAGAGAGAGAGAGACAGAAAACATGTGAGAGGAACAAAGAGACAAAAAGGCTGGTTGTTGAACAAGAGAGGCTTCTCAACCTTTTGCACAGAAGATTTCCAATCAGTCTGTGTGTGCCTGTTACACGCTGGAAGTCACTCAGAGTTAGGAGAGAGAAAATCTCTCTATATAATGATGTCATACTAAATGCTAAATGCATGACAATCATGATTTTTGCATTAATTTAAATGGCCATGATAATTTATAGCCTTTTAAACAAGTTATTAACAGCATTTTACACAAACTTGATAACTTTTAAGCAGATAAAACTGATAAAAGAGTTAATTTAATGTTTTTCATTATACCAGGTTTTAGACTGTAGGCCTACTGCCAGTGCCCATGCCTGTCTGTCTATCTGCCATCTATCTGTGTGTCCTCCCAGCGAGCTGTGAAGGGACAAGCCCTTGTTTGTGCGGTTTGGTTACATTCTCACACCTCCCGTCCACAAGTTTTCCTCCGTCCAACAAACAGATTTCCTGATGCAGCCAAAGCCTCCGAGTCTCCGCTGTCACACTGCTGCGACAATTCACACAGGCCACCTACCGGCCTGACAGACACACACGTACTCAACCCACTCACACAATGTGTATGTGTGTGTGTTACCTGTCCATAATTCCAGGGAATACTTCTGATGTAATCCCAGGACCCCATGTAAATGATTCCATCTTCATTCATTACATACTCCTGGAGTAGACTTTCATCAGGGAGGTACACCACATCATCTACAAACACACACAGAAGACCGTGAGTATGTCCTCATGTCAAAACATTAACATTTAACACAGATTCAAATGTTCAAGTTGGAAAAACTATAAACTGAGTGATACATTCACAGAAACAGAAGCAGCTGATCATCAAATCTGAATACGAGGGTCTCAATTTTAAAACATGACTCTGTTGTTCTGGGAGAAATCCCATCATTTGGTGTGTTGACGATGCTTGTGGAAAACTGCTGTCTCAGAGTGACAATGGTGTCATAAATGCTCAGTCAGGCTGATATGTGGTGACGGCGACCTGCTAATATCTTTGTCATGGGGGCACCAGACATAGAGAAAACACATCTGGGTTGTTTATGGTTTTGCTTTTGCTGATCAAGAGACATGTTTGTGACACTGACTGCAAACTAAAAATATCTGGAGCTGCATGATAAAGTTTAGAAGCTGCAGTAACACTTTGTTAACATTCATGTTTTTCATGTATTTTATTTTATGTATTTTTTCTATTGTTTGTTGGTGTCACAGACGTATTTTTGAACCTTTTCATTTCCTTTTTGCTCAATGTCAATTAGATTCTGACATATGTGGTTGCAATACATCCAAATGAAAACAATAAACTATAAATCATTTTTAAAAAAGCTGCAGAATGTGAATGCAGTTGGAGAAAGCAGACGTGTAAGAGAGAGAGAGAGTGCTTAGCTTTACCTTTACACCACGGGTTATAGAGCAGGTGGAACCTAGCTTTGTCCGCCTCCTCTACAATGTGTCCGTCGGGCGACATCATCAACACAGCCAGGCGATAGTGGCCAATGATGGCGTCTGCTGGACTGTGCAGAGTCAGCAGCACTTCATCCTGTGCTCCCTGCTGGGTAAACCACCACTTGTCTTCGGCCCCACGCTCCTTCTGAACCTTGATCACCACCTCCTCTCTCTTACCTAGAATTTATAAAAGGGATTGTTGGACCATCAGTTAATTTTCTCAAAGTCAGCATCAGAAAATATCCATCCATTTTTCTACTATGAATTAAGTGGATGATTCATGGCAATAAAGGTAATAGTGAATCTAGTTATTTAAAGTCAGAGAAGCAGACTTAGTTTTGCATTTAATGTCTTCTTGCTTTTTTTTTTCCAGAATGTGAGTACAGAGACATAATTGAACATTAAATGGTCTAATAAATAGTCTACTTTGGATCAGCAAAGCAAAGTTGCATCAGACCATAAACTGTACAGTCCAGGTCAGGCTGTACTCACCAAGGTGCAGGACCAGCTCCAGGTGGTGTTTGGGGGGCAGAGAGTCAGAAAACTGCAAGGTTATGGAGAAGGGTTGACCCCTGCGGACAATCAGGCGCTCCCGATCAATCTCCCTGGTGCGGTGAGCCAAGTTGTTTTCATGACTTCTCAGATCCACGTCAATAATCAAACCTAACGGGATGGAGAGAGACAACAATTAGTGTGAATGGGGTGAATCGAGGGAGCTGCAAGATGCCACTGAATCCAACACACTGGTCCTTTAAGTTGTGACCTTACTCAGAGTTTACAGAGAGCTGCATTGTGGTCACAGGTCACAAGTTGAGCCTGATGATCCAGTTATCGTCCTCGAGTCTCTTTAGAGGAATAGTTTTTGGGAAAAAGTTGGCTTTCATGTCAAGTGTTAAATGAGAAGATCAAAACAACTCATATACAGTAAACATAAAGCTACAGCCAGGTGATGCTTAGCATAAAGACTGGAAAGAGGAGGTATCAGCTAGTCTGCCAACCAAAACATCTACAGTTCACTTATTACCATCTAATTTTTTAATCTGTGCATAAAAGGGTCAAAATCCAAAGTTATGGTTTCACAGGGTTCATTCCAATTGTATGCTCTCATATGTCAATCATATGCTGTTATAGTGAGCTTCAGAGGTGCTGGTGTGCATATTTTGTTACCTTTGGACAGAGTAGGGCTGCAATCGAATAGTCTTTTTTGCTTAGGAAGGTTTCTAACTGCGTGAAATGACCCAGAAGTTTTTAAGTGGCAGCCATGATAAGAGCTGGTCAAATTCTTCCTTTTTTATCTCCTTTAGCACAGGATTCAGTTGACCATCCTTTACCAAAAGAATTCTTTGCGCCACAAACATTTAAAGCAAAACCACAGTAGTTTCACGACTGCAGACTCATGTAAATGTAGAAACAACATAGCACCTATTTTATGCTTGTGACACGGTCCACAAAGTTATGGGAATCCAAATCCATAAATATAGATTTCCTTTTTGTACAAAACTATTCACTTAGGCGTAATCTTGAAGAACAAGAGTAATGGATTTGTAGTTTACAATATCCTCTTCATAACAAAATACTAAAATAAATACACATAAATAGAAAGATACATTTTCTGTACTTAAATGTATAAAAAGGGTCAAAAGCACCCATGCCTACAAACTTTATACATTTATATCTGGATATAATTTACTTGCTCAGTCCCTTAACCTCCTTAAATGTTCCCTGTTTACCAACTGAAAACATAATTTCTTAGGAGATGCGATTTTGTTTTGGACAGAAAACCTTACTTGAATTGTACGGCATTAAGTTTCACAGTTCTCTTCCATCTGTTAGATGGTTTCAAAGAAAAAGCCCAGTGTAAGTGCACTCAGATTCTCTCTTTTCCTAAGTCCTTATGAATTTTCCTTCACATCTTTCCTTGACCCCAAGACGTTTTCCACAGATGTCAAATGAAAAGTGTTTAGGAAATGTAATTTTTTTGGACTGTTCGACTGCAGTGTAGTTGTTTCCCTCTGTGTCCAGTCTTTATGCTAAAGCT